ACCACTCTAATAAGAATACAGACTTGAATAATGTAAGGACATGCAGAAAATACATCAGAATATGAAACACTAATCAGATAATTATAATCCATTTCAAACGGATATATTATTGGATTTAGTCCCCTAATCTTTGATAATAGCCACTAAAGGAATATGCTTTCAGCAATTCTGATCTATTCTCTTTCATGTTATATAATGTGTTCCCTGTATAAAGAAAGTTTTACAATGTTCAATTGTCTCTCTCTTTGTTTATCAAGTCATGACTCTGTATGGGAGGTCACTAAAATTCACACATTTTTTTTTTATTACAATTTTCATTTAAAGTAAAGTTTTTCCCTCTTTCCTTACAGATCATACACTTGACAAAAGAGTCAAAATATTGTGTTCACAGTCTCACGTATATGAAGAAGGCTTCAATTATCTGAACAAAATTTGCAAAGGAAAGCAAGAAATATTAGATTAGTCTTAATCTAATATTTCTTGCTTTTCTCTAAATAAGCAGAAACTAAAATAAGAACAAAGAAAAAAGACAAAGTTAAAAAATATTTAAACTATGAAAAGTAACACCTGAAGGTTTTTGTATTTTGCAAAGCTAATGTTTTAAAAAAGTTCTTTAAACAACTAGTCACACAACAGGATTTATGTCGGATCTGTGACAGAATTATTTTAAAATCAGACTAAAGGGAGCTAAATCAGATTTTAAAAAATCATGTTTCCATGACTATACCCAACTTAAATTGTATGTCCAGGTGTTCTATGGTGTAACATATCAATGTGAACAGATGGAAATGTTTCAGTTAGTAAATTTAATATTTATTAGTAATTTATTACTTCTGTTTTTGTTTTGATTTTTGATTTTTCTATGAAATTTATATCATGGTATGAAAGCATTTATAACAATGATTTTAAAAGGTAAGGAAAAAGTTTAATTCTACAACATGAAGTAGTTAAATTAGATGTAGTAGAGTTAGACTTGATTATTATTAATACTACTACTACTACTAATAATAATAATATGGGCACATGGCTGAGTGGTTAGAATGTTCACTTTCTGGCCATAAGACCCAGGTTTGAATCTCATCATAGTCAATTTATTAGGGAGGTGACTTTGTGATAATATTGCCTGAAGGAGGTAATCCCAGCATGTGACACCTTTGGAAAGTGCCTAAAGACCACACCAGGGGTTACTCCAAGCCTAGTGAGTGAAATTGGGTAGACAGAAATGTTCAGAAGCTGTTGATAGTTGTCCTAGCATAAAATCACAAGTTATTGTGACCGAGGCTTTGAGCCTGTTGACTTTGTTAAAAAAAAATCATCATGCCCGACAAACACACATTTTTTATATATATATATATATATATATATATATATATATATATATATATATATATATTCCTTGGTTTTCAAGAATTTTGTGATGGGAAAGATGTAATGATAAAGCTAGCCTAAAGATTCACTTAATAATTCTTTGCATGCGTAAGAATTTTGAATATTTAATGATTGAAAAGGAAATGTCTGGTCAAAGAATGACCCAGAAATTCTTCGAAGGCATTCAAGAATCTTAAAAAGGAATGCTTGTAGTTGTGCAGAAGAAAAGATGACATGACTTGCAGAAATATTTCTGCTTGGAATGTATTAATCCACCAACACCGTCACTGCATCCAAGAAGTCTATATTGAGTGAGCCTTACAAGTTGAATCTTCATGCAGTAAAATGAATCTGAGGCATCTGCAGGAAATGGTTGGGGGTAGAGAAAAAAAAATTGTGTGGGGGTGGAAATGAAAAGAGCAATGCTCTACTTAAGAACTGCAAATAAAGAATAGAAACCATCCTGCAGGGATGCACAGTTGTACAATGACACTGGACGACAAAGATATTTGTTTTGGGTGTTTTTTTAAAAAAAAAATTCCTTCATGTATAAGAGAAAAGGAAAAAAAATGATATAAATATAAAAGTTAACTCTATAAAACACAACCTGTAAAGAGGGAAGACAAAATCAATGATTATATAGCCTGAGCATAATGGATTTTACAAGAATGCAAATGTACTGTGTATGTAAAACAAAATCAACAGGAAATAATTATACAGCTAGAGCACAACAGATTTTACAAGAATACAAATTTACTGTGTAGGTAAGAAGTAAAACAAAATGAAAGGTAGATTATCATGCAGCCTGAGAGCATAAAATTTTACAAGAATGTAAATGTACTGTGTAGGTTTTATAAAATAGCAAGATTCAATAAGTAGAATTTCCAATCAGAATGTATTGGACATGACCATTTTCAGTGGGAATTCTGTTTGTAACAGTCACTCCAAAAATTATAACATTGCCAGTAAGGCTATGATTAATATATTACACAAGTATATTTGATCTATAGTATTAAATGCAAAACCTGTAAAATTGATTTCTGTAAAGCTTTTCATTTGCAATAATTATACTTAAAATATTTTTACACTCAATTCTCTTTTTGCATGGTTTTAAAATAACATGGTCTAACAAACAGAACTAATTTTTTTACTTTAATGCAGTTTAAATCTCTATCCTTGTGTAACCACCAAATTTATTGCAAGTGGCAAGTAAACGATTAAGTAACATCAATCAATTATAATTTACAAAATGCCGAAACTCTACATGACATGATTAAGTAAGAATTTATCAAAGTAAAATAGAATTCAATCTATTTTTTCCATATAGTGATCCCCACTTTCCAGTGTGGGTGGGACCTATGGGCTGTACATACCTGTGACTTCGTGTAACCACTCCATCAGACAGTGCTCAGCGGCAATCATTAGCACCTAGAAGGCCTCCAAATCATTTTCTTACAAGTAATAACAATGTTGAATGAGCTGTGCAATTCCAATGTAATTTGAAAATGACTGACACGTTATGAAGAATCATATAAAGAACAAACACAAAATCAGTGTCTGATAACCAAATTCATATTCAAAACCAGTGAAACAAAAGAAACAAGATATTAATTTTATTCACGATACATATGAAGATATATCGCCATTACTTATTTCCAGTGATAAGGGTAATTTTGCACCAACAAAAAACAGCAGAAAGCAGGCATGTTTACTGAATGTTTGTTTATATATATATATATATATATATATATATATATATATATAATTCAATTTATTTGTACATGAAAATTAACATTTCGTTTTTTAGATATATTTGGATGGAACCTATCCTAATTTTCTTAAGTACACTGTATATTTTATTTTGCATGGAAGTCTCTGGAATGTATCCCCTATGTAAGAAGAGAATTGAGTGTATATATATTCTGTGTGGAGAATTTTTTCACACCAATAGATACATTGAGGAACAAAACCATCAATATGGTACAATCAATTTCATCTATATATTAATACACTTGTCACCTTGTCACCTTTGATCAAGAGGCAAACTAAAAGAGGGAGAAACACAGAGAGTAAAAGAGAAAGTGAGAGAGGGACATAGAGAGACAAAAAGACAGTGTGATACAGAGAGGGATTGGAGGAGCTGGTCAACAAAGAAAAAAAAAAGGCAATTATTTGCAGTGAGGGGTTAAATCAGCTTTCATTGCCTAACAATCTATTGAGAACAAATTTGTCCCTGAACTGCAAGTAACCTTTTAAATTTAAAATCAAAGAGGTGTGGTCTTCTTACATAAAGGCAGTTGTTTCTAGTGAGGGGTTAAATCATATTTCATGACTTAATGATCTGCTGAGGACATTTCAGTATTGTTAAGCCTACTCTGTCTTTTGAAAAGGAGTAGGGGTTTATCCCTTGTTTCCTTTTTAGGATTGAGTTTCCGGTTTCTTCTAAAGTTTTCTCATTCTCTTTCACCCCCAACACTCCCTTGCGTCCTAGTGACATTATCACCTTGCTTGGGATGGATTGATTAAAAAAATGGTCAAAGGTTAAAAAGTACAAAGTGTAACCTTCAAAAAATTATTAATAAATCCATACAATTTTCACAGGTCCTACTAGTTTAAAATAATAATAATTAACTCCTCAAATATTGTAAAAGATATATATATATATATATATATATATATATATATACATAATCTACATAAACCCAAAATTTTAAAAAAAATTAATCAGTTTGTCTGACGATCGCAAAGCGTGAAAATCCCAGGCTCACAAACTCACATCAATCCAACCATATATATATATATATATATATATATATATATATATATAATATAAAAAAGAGGGTTGTAGTGGTTCCAACGAGAGAAAAGTATGTATATTAAAAAAGAAGAGAAGAGAGGTGCATAAACGTTTTTGGTTGTAATGTGGATTTATTTAGAAAAAAATATTATGCTTTGTTTTTACATAATTTTACTACGCGTTTCTGGTCTCATGACCGTCTTCAGGTAAAAGCGGAGATTTCCACATATTATTAAAAATAATTAATTTTTTCCTTATGTTCAATGTTAAATATTCTCGATATGAGACATTCTCTGTTTTTGTGTTAGTAATCAGAATTTCTTTATGTGAATAAAAAGACAAAAGGAAAAACTATTCTTAGCGGGCACATTTTGTCCTCTGAGGGACTTTATCAAGGCAATGTGGGATTTATTATATTGCACATGTTTATATACCAAAGCAAGGATGCCATTGGTTTATCAAGGCTTTTAAATTTGGGAACATTCATAAATGTCCATCAGGTGGTTGAAAAGTCTGTCAAAACATATGGAGGACAAAAAGTGTCATAATTCAAAGTCTAGCAAAAAAGTAAATGAATAATATGCAAGTATTTTTTTTTAATGAATATTGTTTAAATTGTGATTAGATTGTTATAGGTTTAAATAATATTCATTAAAAAAGAAAAAATTCTTGAATATTATTCACTTACTTTTTTGAGAAAGACAAGTGGTGAATTCATATCTTTCTCAAGAGTATTTGTGCATAAGTGAATATAACAAACCCAATGGGAATTGGAACTCAGCATTCTGAATCCCAATTCTGAGCCATTATCCATTACACCACCCACTCACCTAAGCACACAGCACCTAGTATTCTCAAATAGTCACCCATCTTGGTACTAACCAGGCACAATATTTACTTAACTTCAGTGATTGTATGGGAATTGGTATTTCAATGTGATGTGGCCATAAGTCTGATATATTATTATTATTTACATATTCACTCGATTGTTTGATAAATCAGAAATAATATCGTTCCACTATAGTTTCCTAAGAAACTATGATTATTCACGGAGAATAATGAAAGAGGACGCTGTGAAGAACCATGAGCACCTTATATCTTGAAGGAACATGGCATTTAAAATAAAAACATACCCAAGAAAATACAAACTAAGAATTGAAGTTTCATAAATAAATTTGATTTCTTTTTTATGTATGGAAACAAAAAGCACTTTTTCCGCTTCTTATCAAACTTTAACAAAATTAAAGTCTTGTAAGAAATTAATTTTATTTATTTATTTATTTATTTTTTTTAACTATTATCAATCTCTTATGGCTAATGTCAATTTCAGGTACAGAATTTCTCATCTGTAATTGTGAAAACTGGAAAACTCAAAAAAAAATAAACACTTTGAGGGGGGATGTTGTCTATATATTTGACACCAAATGTGAACCACATCTCAAAATTCTACTGTACTTTACCAGGCTTCATCTTTGGTCTCTCAGACCAACAAAACAGAAGTTATTATTTTAAGACAACCTTAGTTAAGGCCAGGCTACATAGTTCTGTCTCACTGCTTGTACTACTTATGGATATTTTATTTATTTTTTTAGTAATTTTAAATTTTGAAAACAGTGAAAAATGCTAAGAGCTGCAGATTCACCCATGGGTGACATCCGACTTAACAGCCTACCTGACTGGCTGCAATGGATAAATTGTCGCCATTTTATATTTTCAATTCTTTTCAGTATCCTTCAATTATGCTATTTTAAATACTTTGTTTTAATATTCATTTTTTAAAAAGTATTTTTATTTTTGTAAGGGCTGAAAATAAAACATTCGATGGTACCCAGTGATACATTTTGGATTTCAATACAAAAGGAATATCTCACATTACCTAATAAGGCTTTATCAGTTGTATTGCAATTTTCTACTTCTTATTTATGTGAATTAGGCTCCTCAACTCTAAATAAAATCAAAATTAGAAGCGAGAAAGACTGCACTCAAGTGAAGAAGAAATGAGGGTCAGCTTATTGCACATTCAACCCAACATTGAAGAAATTTCGAAAAAACACCAGACACAAGTTTCACACTAAATAAGCAGCACAAATAAAGGGTGTGATGGGTAAATTGTTGCCATTTTAAGTTTTTAATTTTGCACATGTGCATTGTTTGTTTTTGATTTTGTCAACAATGCAGTATAGTAGGGTCAGTTGGGCACCATCTGTGAGAAAAAGAGAACCATGATACAATTCACTCTGCCAGAAATTTTGAAATGGCATGCTGTACTGTTCGGCATTTGTACCAGAAGCTCCAATACAAACATTTCAGAGTATTTGGGTGTCAATTTGTGGACAGTGCAGAGGATTCAGAAAGAGTTGGATGATATATCAACATCATGGTGTTTGGAGTGATCACTAATGGTGGCGACATTATGTCTCCATTCATCTTCCCACAGGACCTCAGACTCAACACAGGAGCCTACATCAAGTGGCTGGGTAAAGAGGGTGGCTTCTGGAAGACCCTATGTTTGGCAACAAGACTTTGCACAGGGCCACACTAGCAGGAGAGCCCAATCATGGCTGTCAGACAATTTCTGCAACCACATCACCCCCTTACAAAACCTAAAAACAATATCCTTTTCTGAAAAGTGTCTGGTATGAAGTGTTTTGCATAAGAGATAGTGCGTTTGTGATAAGAGATTATCCAATGTATACAATGGTAACAAGTTTGGTTATGAAAGTGTTAACTGTTATTCAGTTAGCAGTAGGTAATGATCTTTTTTCTTTTCACGAGTACCTCAAAAGTTAATTGCTTATGTCAATAATTGATCTGTGTACTTGTAAAATCAGTATTACACTATTAACATTTATCTGCTATATCTAATAGATACATTCAACAGTCTTTTTCTTACAGTCGTCTTCTTCGATGTGCCACGTCCCTTCAGGACATTGGTACTCTCCACAATTTCCCATCCTTTGTAGCTCTTAGTAAATTTTGGCCTTTTGCTGAAATCATGTTCTTCTATCCATTTACTATTTCATGAGGTAGGTTATGCATTGTTTTCTTCTCTCCCTCTTGTTTTTAACATGTTCTATGAGTATCAAATTTTCCAGACCCTCTTTCCTCATTATGTACCCTGGAAATTTCAACTGCCTGTTTCAGATTGTTATATTCCATGGTAATAGGAATATATACTTGAAAAACAAGGTGGATAAAATAAGTAAAGGTTCACTGTACAAAACCAGTACAATAAGAATAAAAGTAACAGTTATGAACAAGGCTGTTGCAAGTCAATCTAGTAGTTAGTGCTACTATTGAAAGGCCGGTAGTTCTTGCGTAAGTCTGAGTTGTACTCAACAGATCCCAGCAAGTCCTTGTAGTCCATTGACTTACAGATACTTATTGGTAGTTACTACCTGTATTCACTCATGGGGGTGACAGGTTATTCCATTACATCACAGATGTTAAGTATAAGTTTACTTTTTGTTTCCATTTTCTCTAAAAATTTGTTGTTGCTCACATGTCCATGGTATTCTCAGAATCCTTCTGTAGAACCACATTTCTGTTGCCTCAAGTCACTTCTTCATCTCTGAGAAATTTCCCCAGTCACTGCCATATAGGAAAACTGATATTACATAAGTTATATACCGTATATACTTGCATAACGTGCAATGTTTATTTTAAATATAGCTGTACTTTTTGACTACAGTAAATGGATATATAGGTTGGTCAATGGCCAGGGCTAGCAGTACATATACTAATTTTATACATCATGTATGATGCAACCCCCTTAAAATTAGCTTCAAAATTAGGTCTTCAAAAGTTGCATGATATACAAGTATATATGGCACTCTTTTCTTTTTTTCTAACAAAATTACCCTATTTCTTAATAAAAGAACTTAATACTAGTAAAAAATTACTAAAAATTATCTAAGAATGGTAAGGTGAAATTAGACATTTCTATACAGTAAACATTTGGAATTCATTGACATACTGTCAGTTGAAATTTATAAAACATTTTTCTTAAAACAATTTTTCAAGAAATTAAACTTCTTAAGTTTCACTAACTGTTATAGCTCTTTCCAATATTAATGGTATTTTTTTTTCAAACATTAAATTAAAAATAAATATCATTGTTATGTTAAATATTCCTTAATGCAATATACTATGCCTGAATATATATATGAGCTAATAAGAATCCTCTTTTTACTAAACACATATAGGTTTCAAGTATATTGAAATGATATGGATTAGACAGTTCATGTCCTTAGTCTCCAAATGTTTTCTCTTTTTAGTAAGAAGAAAAAGAAGAGGTTGATTTTTAATTACTATAGAATCTCTAAATAAGAATCTTAAATACAGTATATGTAGTGAAAACAAAATACAGATGGAGTAGCTAATCGCTACTGATAACAGTACCCAACCCGTTGGTTAAAGAGAATGTTTAGTATGGTTGACCTGCCAGAACAAGAGCCAGTGTGAACCCTAGAATGTCTGGTTATGAAGAAAGAAAGTGTTTACCAGCTTCTGCATGAGACAGTCAAGATGCTGAGCTGAGAGGTATTAGCTATGCAAATGATTCCTTTGCTAGCCAACTACTAAAGTTTTAGGCTCCATAAAAGCAGGCACATTTTCTGGGAAGATAGAGAGTTTGGCAGTATGCTGTTGTGCTTGTGCTGTTATCAACTCTCAGTTGAGTCTCAGTCTGTGGACAGAGCACAACTGAAAAAATATTGTGCAACCTCTCATTGCACTAAAGAGGGGGATCAATAGGGATACTGATACTAGTGCAACTGAAACATTAAAACCAAAAACAACAACAACAGCAGCCCCAACATGCAAATTACAAATTGGAGATGCCAAAATCAAGCAAGTACTGCAATTTAAATATCTGGGAAATGTTTTAATAGAGGACAGAAAATATGACACTGAAATTTGAAGGCACATTGGAATAGCAAATCTTTCCAAAAGCTAAGCAAAGTATTAAGAAACAAGAAAATTTTGTTAGAAACCAAGAATACTGGACTCTTATGTAAAATCAGTCCTGCTATATAGTAGTGAATGCTGGACAATTTCCTTACAAATGATAAATAAACTTGAAGAAACAGAAATGTGGTTCTACAGAAGGATGCTGAGCATACCATAGACCAAACATGTGAGCAATGACAAAGTTTTAGAGGAAATGGAAACAAAAAGTAAACTTATACTTAGCATCAGGAAGAGGCAGTTTGTAATTTCTAGGGTACATAATGAGGAAAGAGGGTTTGGAAAATTTGATACTCAGAGGATATAATGAAGGTAAGATAAACAGGATAATAGCACATAATGTAACTAGCGAGCTTCATTGAATGGATCACAGAACAGTTTAGGCAAGATAACAGAAAAACAAAATTTATTAAGAACTACATAAGACAGGAAATTGTGGAGAGCTATAATCAGCAACATCCTAAAGTGAAAGGGCACATAGAAGAAGGAATGCTAATTTTCTATTTTTCAGAAAACAATTTCAGATATGTATGTGCATTCGATACATAGCAAAATAGTGATTTCATGGCTGGGAGGGAAAGAAGTAAATATTGTTGCTTTTTAAACTGAGATTAAAAAAATAATTCCAATGAGAAAAGTGCCAGACAAATTAAGTTGTCTCAATCGTGAATTAAAATAAGCAAAATTTATTTCTGGTTTCTATTTTTATTGCTTTTATAAAAAGTAAAAGTAATAATTATATCAAAATAAAAATCAGTTAATGAGAATTAAAAAGAAAAATAAATAAAAAAAGGAGTATTTCTTGACAAAGATTTCATAAAAAGATATCACGTTAAGGTATGATTGTAAAAAAAAAATTAGAAATATGACAAATTAGCAAGATTATCCTAATATTGCCTTGGGTAAATATTTCTCAAATTATCAATCACATTTACAGACTTTTGTCTTTTTTCTAAGCCTGTTTTTAACAAAGAAATTAA